CTTCTGCGGCGCGGGCACTACGCGGAGCGGGTGGGGGCCGGCGCGCCCGTTTACCTGGCGGCCGTGCTGGAGTACCTGACGGCCGAGATCCTGGAGCTGGCGGGCAACGCGGCCCGCGACAACAAGAAGACGCGCATCATCCCCCGGCACCTGCAGCTGGCCATCCGCAACGACGAGGAGCTCAACAAGCTGCTGGGCAAGGTGACGATCGCGCAGGGCGGGGTGCTGCCCAACATCCAGGCCGTCCTGCTGCCCAAGAAGACCGACAGCCACAAGGCTAAAGCCAAGTGAACGCAGCGGAAAAGCAGCACGTTGTCTTTTCCGGAGATGATAATCCAAAGGCTCTTTTCAGAGCCACCCACAAAATCATAAGAGAGCTCCGTTATCCGTACGCTGTTTATGCTGTCTTATATGAATTACTCAACTCGTGTTTAGTCTTATTTTCTCCACGTTTATTGACAGTATTTTTGGCTTGGAGATAGTAGCAACGCTTTTGTTAACACAAAGCCGTGCCAAAACGTCCTCTGAAAGCAAGTCCTTCCTAGGATGGGGCATTTTCCGTTCAGTCTTAAGCCGGAGAAGGGAACCGCGTATTTCGGCGAGCGCTCCCGTCCCTCCCCTTCCCCCCTTCTTCCGCCCTTTTCTTCTCCGGGAGTGGCTGAAGCGGCACCAGAGCTACGAGGCGAAGGGGGGGAAGGGGCAGCGGGCCGGGCTCTCCGCCGGCCAATCCTTGGTCAGGGCGGGCTTTTTCAACACTTCAAGCTCCTTTTCTTATCGGGAACAAAAGGAAAGGGAGAGCTCGGGGCTATTTTCGCGTCGGTAAAGAAACCTTCCCCTCCTCCCCCAAATAGACAGACCCATTCAAGGAGACGCCCTCAGAGGAACACTACAATAGATTAGACGTGGCTCACTAGCAGCGTGCCTGACAGTTGCGATCCTTTTGTTACAAAATGTAGTCTTAAAAAAACCGTACATTCGATTTTTATCAAATCATTACTAGAAAACATTGCTTCCTGGTAGTCAACCCAAATTCTCGGCAAAAAGATGTGAAAGTCTGCACTTCCCTAAAGCCGCCGCGTTATACCGTGCTCGTTAGCGCTTCTTTCGGTCATCGCGGGGTGCAGGAGGGGGAGCAGGCGGCAGAGGGCAGAATTGCTGAATGGAATTGT